TTGCGCCGTGCGTATGTATGCAGCATGCGGCCACTCGATTGTGATACCGTCGACAGAAAAGAAAAGACGATGAGGCGGCTCCACAGATTCAAGGCTGTTGCCGGACATGTGAGTGATCCGTGTATGTTGGCGCGCGGAAGACCCAGATATGCGCGAGGTGCGGCCCGTTTGGTTCTATTTTCTGGCCCTTTCTGACCATGCTGGCTTCGTCGAGTGCAGTCTTCCGGAGTAGGATGTCGAAATAGAATAGCAGTCAGCATGTTTACTTACATTGTACTACATGGCTGTGAGATGTTGATGTCTGATTTGAACTTTGCACTGCCATTATGTTGAATCAAAGACATGATATACTCAGCCATTTCCGAGTTGTGAGTCTTAGTTTCCATGGGAAGCAAGCAACGGTCCAGTCAGTTAGCAGAATAAGCGCGCATGATTGTGTGTGGTTGGGGTCAGGTCATCATCGACTGTTTCGTCGTTGGAAGATTTATTGTTTGAGCTTTTTGAAGTGGACATGGTTTGTGATATATTTAGAATATCTTGCATCAACCCTCGCTGACCGGATGGCTTGTTGTGTATTTCCCCAATTTGTACAACGAGCCGTCTGCCGTGCAGTGCAGTACAGTGCATTCATTCCCCATTGAAGATGAACGGGATTTCAGTCTCCCGGTCGTATCTCGTACTCAAGTGGTGAGATTGGGATTATTCAAACACGAAACAAAATAGTATGAAAGAGGAAGCAATAAGAAATCTAAAGAATATATGGAAATAGCTGGTTTAGGAATTGGTTCCAATATCGTAATTAGGAAGGTGGGTGGTATGTATGTGAGGTTACGTTCATGTTCTGGTGTTCCATAAATTTGGAAAATCATATAATGCCTATTAATGACGAGGTAGGTAATAGGTAATATGTAATATGTAATATGTAACTTTATCTTCAACCTCATCTATATGTGATGCAGTGATATCAATGATCGACCAATCTTGTTTAATCATTGTCGTTAGGTCTTTAGCTATTTGAACTAGATGCAACTGAAATTTTCCGTTCCTATATGGATCGTACCTAGATACCTATCTAAAGGTCGCCATTTTAGTCCTCCTACTGAGATGGATTGTCATTGCCATCCGGGATTCTCGGCCAAGGAAACGTATAATGGAGACCTTTCTGGGGATATTCCATGACCCATTCCCCCGATATGATGTGACATGATAGGATTTTTCAAAGTCGTGATTATGCGTTATGATGGATCGTGGAGGTAATAGCTAGGATGTAACAAGATCTACAGTCCTACGAGATGGGTATGTTCCGACCCCGAGAAAGATTAAGATACTGATTAATATATTCCTCTAATACATTCCTCTAATACATTCCCATGTTGGATCTGGCCATTGCGTTCGCTGTCTTCTGATAATTAAACTTTCCTTTGAAGTTGCTTGTCAGGTGGAGAGGTATGATTCCATTCCCCTCCATCGGCTAGCCCCCCATTTTTGAAATGTAATAGTTCGCGTTGATGAATGTCATTGATTACAGGTGGTCTCCATAATCATTCACCGACTCTGACGAACGAGAAAAAGAAGGCATGAGATGAGGTTCCTTGCAGAGATGATCTCTCACTGGCAAATGCACGCAAGACTTCATCCAACGGCAAACATCGCTTGGAAGCTCTCTATCAGGTAGTTTGAGGTAGTCATTTCGGTGTTAGAATATGATAGGCATTGCAGATTGAACGCGGGGTTACAAACCACGACGGAGTTTCGATGAGCACATCAAAGAAGTTTGATATTTGATGGTTTGATTTATCGTTTCCATACGGATCCCACATTTTAATATTTTAATGTACAGCGAGAGGGGGAGGGGGAGGGAGTGGACAAGGGTAATCGGTACAGATCCTCAATTTAGTAGGATGACCGTGACAATTTACAATTTACAGTTTACGAAGAGGATCATTGAATTTGCCAACTCTCGAATGAAGTTCTGATGATCCAAAGCAATCTGAAGCTATGGTGAAGCGAAGATTGAAATGACTAGCTCACGCCTTGAAGATGTTACAAACGTTGCATTCATGCATCCATGTGAGAAGGATCAAATAGGATATTACAAACGTGCAACTGATAATGCAAGCGAGTAGCGAGTAGCGATTAGCAATTAGCAAGTAGCAAGTAGCAAGTAGCAAGTAGCAAGTAGCAAGTAGCAAGTAGCAAGTAGCAAGTAGCAAGTAGCAAGTAGCAAGTAGCAAGTAGCAAGCAGTGAGCAGCAAGCAGCGCAAGCTTAAGCTGCAGTGCAGTACCTGCGTTCCCGAGATGAATACAAGAATAGAAACCGCCCGATTAGGGTTCTCCGCACGAATGTATGTACGGAGTATCTATTCTATGCACGGGACACGCAAATGCGAGGTGGAGGGTTGATATGCCGGGAATTTCACATATTGGTGGTTATTGTGGATGTTTCTCTCTCTTCGCTTTTCACCATGAAGAGAAGTAGATCAAGTGGGAGCCAATTACCATAAACACAACCAGATTCACGAGGCACATGAAGGCACATCAATATTACTAGGTACCTAATATCGTACTCCGTACCTAGTCGTCAATTCAAATGCACCGACCTGATGCAACACCAAACAGACAGGTGCACATATTCAAGTGATCTAGCTGGCTCCCTCTCATCCTGGCTCCTGGTTGGCTACCTTTGGGAAGAGAAAGGCCAGTAATATTCCCTCAAGAAAGTTAATTTGCCCAGATTCTTTATGAGCTTAAATGAGCTGCATTAGGATCTATTTATGGACATTTTCCTCGGTGGTCGTACCGTCCCTTCATCTCTTGGCACCCTTTTTACATGGAAAAAGCTGATTGATCTTATGTTTCCAATGTGTCAGCATGTGAATCCTGGATACATCTTCAAGGATCAAGACATCGTTTAGGGCTTGTTCAACCAGTCGGAATTTAAAGATGATGCAAAGCTGTGCTTGCTCGGCCACTCATGACCAGCCTGGCATTTGGGAAACATCGTATTTTACACATGCTTCTCGGGCGCTTAGGAAGGACTTGAGAGAGGAGTGAGGAGGAGGAGGAGGAGGAGGAGAGCAATGTATGGAAAGGCGACCGAGAGCTCCCTGGTCATCTTCCTACTGCACAGTGCACGCACGATTCATATCGACAGGGTGAAAGGAGGCTTGAGCTTAGCTTGAAAGGACAAACGACTGCGAGGTTGAGTACCGTGCCTACATAGGTAGGTATGTAGGTATCCTTGCGGGTAAGTCGTTGGTATCATCATGGTTGCACATGAAAGCAAAGGGTATCTCGGTTCGAAGTTGAATGAGGCTTGTCATATCTAAGGTCACCAAGTATACTGCAGTCGGGATGGATGGATTTGTCTTTGAATGTGCTGGGTAAATAGGTCGTATGAGTTTCAAGGATCGGATTGGAATTAAATTATAAGATTATATTCACATACTCGGCTAGAAGATGCACGATGAATTCCCTCTTCTGTTGTAGTGCGCTGCTGTTTCTGGATTGTGTGTTATAGATGTAGGTATAGATCTAGATGTAGATGGATGGTATCTCCGAATCTTGCATGAAGGAGGTTTTGGGAAGTTTAGGGGAGGGTAGAGAAGGGTAGAGGAGTTGATATTTTGTCGATCGCAAGTCGTGTGTGGTGCCTCCGATATTGATATTAGGTACGTGGACTGTATGCATATGTAGGTAACAAGTATCAGGTGTCAAGCATCAAATATCATCGTTACCCTCAACAATGTAGAGAAAACCCAAACCCCTCATTGGCCAGGAAGGCATTGAGCATTGATAACCAAATCTCGACATCCAAGTGTATCAGAGTATCAAGTCAACTCATTTGAATCTATCTACCGCGGGAGGTAATTTCCGCGCCCGCCCAAACATCGCACCCTTTAACTCGTTTGAGTGATGGTAAGTTGTGCGTGAGTACCGTAGTGCATCAGATGTATGGGGATTCATTAATTCATTACGAATTGGGACCAATGGAGAGCTCCCAAGAGCCCTAGTATGAGTGAGCGGGCCATTGATGAATCAATTCTCACGCTTCTACGAGTAATACCTACCTAGTCATACCGGACAGAGAAAAGGTACCAGGAAATGACAACGAGGATGTCTACTCTGGAGAGGTATAGTATTGTGTATATGGGCAGGTTTTACTGAATGGGATCTCAATACAATACAATGCAATACCTTTCCTACATAGACATCGGTAGACATCGAACATGTTAGATTGTAGTATGATTATCTCGAGTCCTCTTTACTACCTGTATCTGTATTTGCATCTGTATCTGCATCCATAGACACCAGACATTAGACATTAGACATTAGACATTATATACCAGACATTAGACATTAGACATCATACACCAGATATTAGACATCATTTCTTTCATCCAACTACTCGAGCGACCTACCACTACCAGCTGATTGACCAACGCAAAGGGCAAGCAGGCATCATGATCAACACCTACCTGTCAGAGAATCTCCCCAGCCTGCCTTATCTATCCATATGCTACTCGAGTACATATATAGATAGTACCTACCTAATAGGTCAAAGGACGAATCAATCTTTACCAAGATGAGCCAAAATCAAAAGCACCTGCAACACAAGAAAGGAAAGGAAAGAATGCGAACAATGACTTCCCTTCTACCAAACCCCTTCCTTGTCCATCTCTTGTCTGCTTACTACGTATCAAGAAAATACGATGGATGTGGATTACAGGATTATATGAATTACATGAATTACATGAATTACATGAATTACATGAATTACATGAATTATACGCATTATATGAATTATATTCTTCCTATTGCAGTCTAGTCCATAAATCTCAATCTTTCAATAGAATGAAAAGAATCATTCATTATTCATTAATTCAAAAATTAAAAGACAAGGTTTAACAAGAAAATTCCCTTTTCTCTCCTTTCAGATTTTGAACTTTGGTACCACCCTCCATACATTTTTCCCTTCTCCCCCCCTTCCCCCCTTCCCCCCTTTCATCATTTATTATATCACGATCCAAAAATATCTATATTTAGTATCTCATCGCGATACACTTTATCAGTCCTATCACTATCTATCAGTTGTTGTACTTCAAAAGGATTCTCGAGAAAAAATTAAAGAGTAACCTCTTCTAACCTCTTCTAACCTCATCTCCATACTTTGACTTGGGATTTTCTTTGCAGACGGTTTCCCCAGACCTATATCATTGATCCAACTCCTCCTCTCTTCAAGAAGTTATCTTTCACGCACATCAAGCTTGTCCAGTTTTTTTGTTTAAAAAGGTGTCTTTTCTTCACGGCCTGTATCACTATTTGCGTGCGGGTGTTTCGAGTTTTCTTCGCGCTTCTTCAATTGCCTGGAGCAAAAGCAAAAAAAAGTTACAATCAAATCAGATCAAATCAGATCGAATCACATCCACTTGTTAACGCACCTTTTTTCTCGTCACATACATACGTCTGTCTGTCTTGTCAAAGGGACAGACTCGGTCGCAACCTTATTGACGACCCCCTTCATCAGCTCGACATCTACTTTTCTGTCACTGTTTTATATATCGACATTTAACGACCACGGCCAAAGTACATCTAAACTCTTATCCCACGTCAGACATATTGCTCCGCCGCTATTCATACAATCGATTACTGTATTCATTTGTGTTGCTCTATTTCGCCGCTATTGTATTCAAAAAATTCACATTAAATTTCGGTTCCTTTGTCCCCTCAATATCATTCATTGATGACCACGATCCTACGCGACTCTTACAATCAGCGAGTTTTACTTCGAATAGTTCATCTCAATTACACGTCTGAAGCTGGACCAATTCACGCAATCGAATTTCATACCAGAAGAACGGCGCGCCTCTGCCGCAATGGGGAGAAGAAAGATTGAGATCAAGGCTATCAAGGATGATAGGAATCGTTCAGTGTATGTTCTCTTTGTGCGAATATCATCCGCGGCGCAAAATGCTAACTCTCCTCTCCCAGGACCTTTTTGAAGCGCAAAGGAGGCTTGTTCAAGAAGGCGCATGAGCTTTCCGTTCTCTGTAACGTCGATGTCGCGGTTATAATATTTGGCAGCAATAAGAAATTATACGAATATTCTAGTGGTGATATTGGAGAGTTTATGACAAGATATCAATACGTACGTGTTCTACCGCGTCTGGCGCAAGGATTACAAGCTGACATTATTTGTAGTATGGAGGAGCCAACGAACACAAAGGACCTGCCGACTATTCAGGCAAAGGAAAGGGGATGGATGATGACGACGATGACGATGATGGATCTCCCCCTTCCCATCATGGATCAGTTGAACCAATGATGCCCCCTCAATTTCAACACCAACCTTATCAACACATACGCCACCATACTCCATCTGCCTCGCCTCCAATTCCAAATGGTGTCTTTCCACATCTTCAACAGCAGCAACGACAACATACGCCACAACCTGGAATGGGATCCCGTCCATCATCTAGAAATGCCCCACGAAGACAAAGCTCCCTCGTACCGCATCCTCATGGCCCTCCTACCAACGGACAATTTGTTTATGCGCCAAATCCATCACCTTACAACCCTCAAATGACACCTGGTCTGCCACCACACGCGCATGGGCTTCCGCAGCACATACAAGGCCCCCCGCAAGGAATTCCTCATCCACATCAAAGTCCTGGACCACAATACACACACTTTGCACCGCAGCAGCATCCACACCACCTCTCTCAACACCCTCAACACCCTCAACAGCATATGCAACAGCATCCACAGCATCCTCAGCAACATCCTCAGCAACATCCTCAGCAACGTCCTCAGCAACATCCTCAGCAACATCCTCAGCAACATCCTCAGCAACATCCTCAGCAACATCCCCAGCAACATCCCCAGCAGCATCCTCAGCAACTGCCTCAACATCCTCACCCACAGCAAGTACAGCAGCTATACGTGGAGGAGCAAAGAAAATCTTCTGTACCGCCACCATTCCCACCACAGGAAAGGCCTGCATCCTCACGTGCAACTACTTCTCCTCCACAACCGCCGCAACAGCAAATGCCACAACCTCCACCACAATCGCAGCCGCCTCAGCCATCGCCAGAACAGCAGCAAACACAACCACAATCACAGATGCCAGACCCGGTCAAGCGTTTATCCGTAAAATCTAGAAGTATTTTCACGCCAATTGATGAGAGCCGATCGATCCTGTCCCAGCACTGGGCAAGCTCAACCTCCAATACTGACACCGTGAAGGAAGAACCCAGTGATCGATCTCAATCCGTAGATGTTACAGTGAATCGTATAAAGCCACCTTCGCCACCTCAGAGATCACAAACGCATAACAAAAATCGCAACATATCCATGTCATCCTTACCAGATGGGTTCACACCACCATCTCGCACGAACAGTGCTCAGTTGAGTGTTGGTGGTGGTAAAAGGCCTGTGTTGAAAGTGCAGATTCCGGAAGAGGCATCGGATAACGGTGGATCTGCCACTGCGGAAGATCTCTCATCCCCAAGATCTGCGAGTGCCGCTAATCCTCAGGCGCGTCGCAATGGCGGTGATCATGGCGGAATGGTACTACCACCACCTTCGCCTTCCGCCTCGGCTCTATTGTCAGCCGGCGCATCTGGGCCACCTAATCCTTTTGCGCGACCGCATCCTGTTACACAACCTTCTCAAGGATCCAATGCAAGTGGGAATAACAATAACTCGAACAACAATATAATAGAAAACGTAACACCGGTCTCAGCTCTTCCATCGCGATTCATGAACAACGAATTCCTCCCTAGTCCTTCGTCATTTTTTGGAAATCCTAGTTGGGATTACGGTAGAGGTGGTGACTCAAACACATTACCAAGTCCTCTAAATTTTGCAACTCCTGTTGTGGGCACAGGTCCAAGTTTTCTAAGAGAAGATAATGGTGAAAGGGGCGGTAAACGAAAGACCCCTGATCAAGATGAACATCTAGAAAGCGGAGATCAAAAAAGAGCGAAGCATGAAGGATAACTTGGGCCCCCTTCACGGAAAGGGTTTGGAGCATGAATTGCTATGGATATGAACTTCACGAACATGGGCATTTGGTTGTGGGAAATCTATAAAAAAAAAGATAATGTCTTTCTTGTGGGCGGGACAGAACTCGTCTCAAATTTCTTGAAAAGGGCCTATTGCATTATATTTTGGGAAAGGCGTTTCTTTTATTTTTATTTTTCTGTGATACACTTTTCATGTTTATTTTGCCTTTTTTTTTCATTCATGAGAGGATTCTATCATTTTCTATTCATGCATTCTTACTGCAACCGCCATCCATTGTTTCATTTGACAGGCTTTAAGAAATCGCTTGTGTTTATGATGCGAAGTTTGACATCTGACTTGTGAGATGGCACTGGATGGTAGAGTTAGCATTCTACTCCTTTGTAAATACCCTTGGGATTTGTGGAGGGGGCATTCTTTGCGTGGTGGATTGTTTTTTTTTGTTTTTTTTGTTGGTCGATTTTGGTAGGGGTTGTGCTTAGAGAACAAAGGATGGCTTTTGATGAAGTATTTAAATTGGGGCTTACGTAGTTGTGTGAGAGATGGGGTTGTAAGAATTGGTAGTAGAAAAGTAAGATAGTCGAGATTATGATATAGGTAGTGGAGATAAATGAGAAGACAATTGATCAAAAAAAATACAGTGATGAGATGCTGTACTTCTTTCCTTTTTATTCTACATTGATTTTGAGATTCTCTGTTGGTTCTGATGGGATGTAGTATCTCCGTGGTTAGGCTACGATGGCAAATAATCATTCATTAGTTGTACAAAATTGTTACATGTTGATGTTCATATTGTTCTCCTTTAGCGGCCTAAAACCCAAGAAAATTTAAAGTCGTCAAGCCGAGCATTCTAATCTGGCTATACATGCAGAAATCCTCCTACAAATAGACAATCAAGAACAGAACTCTCATTTGTCGATCCACGCACCCACGCACTAGAACAAACGCACCGTCAACCCCGACCCCGCATCGATTATCAACGTCGCGCCCGTGATATACGTCGCAGCTGGGCTGCACAGAAAATGAATGGCATCAGCTACCTCGTCGGGCTGCGCCACGCGCTTCAGTGGCACGACAGCTTGCACCATGTGCTCGAAGTGCGGGTTGAGAGCTGCTTCGTGCGTATTCATGGGGCCGGCTACCCAGGTCGGACAGATGGCGTTGATGCGGATGCCGTGGGGGGCATAGTCGACTGCTGTTGAGGGGAAAGGAGGGGGTTAGTTCTGTGCAATTGTGAAGGGTGTGGAGAATTATGGATAACACTCGAGTCGGTATGCAAAGGATGGATGAATGACATACCTCCGGATTTCGTAATCCCAACCACGGCATGTTTCGCGGTGGTGTAGGCGGTTTTCCCGGGAAACGCCACGACGGAGTTTGCGGAGCCGAGATTCACGATGCAGCCGCGTCCGAGCGAGCGCGCGGTGTAGCGGCCTTGGTAGGAGAGAGGTTCTTGGAGGAGCATGGCGCTTGCGATGGCGCGGTTGCAGAGGAGCGTGCCGCGCATGTTGGTGCTGAGGATGTGGTCGAATTCGGAGAGGGGCAGGGTGTTGAGGGGGGAGGGGGTGCTGGTGCCGATCTGGTGGGAGGGGGGTTATTAGTGTTAGTGCGGGAGGGGAGGGGTGGAGTTGGGATTCTTGGGGGGAATTGAAATTGGAAATGGAAATGGAGATGGATCATACACCAGCGCTATGCACGTAATAATCTATACGGCCGAATTCTTTGATAGCTGTATCGACCATTTTCTGCACGCTCTGCTCGTCTGTCACATCGACGTGGATGGAGAGGATGCGACAGTCGGGGTTGGATGCGTAGGATTTACATTCTTGCGCGGCGGATTGGGCGGATGAGAGAGAGAGGTCTGCGAGGAGGATGCCGGAGGCGCCGGATTCGGCGAAGGAGAGACAGGTGTTTTTGCCGATGCCGCCGCCGGCCTGGGGAGGGGGGTTAGTGGGGGGGGCGGGACGAGAGCGGGGAGGGGGTGAGGGACGTGTGAGGGGATGGAGGGGCGGGTTTAATGGGTTGGTGGGATACGTGCTCCAGTGATGACGGCATAGCCGCTGGTGATTTTGGATGTCATTCTGGGGTGGGATATGTGTGGGAGCGGTGAGGCTATGGGATGTGGTGGAGAGATGAGAGGAGAAAAGACAGGATATATAGGAGAAGAATGGTCGCGAGGGATAAGGAAGAAAGTTGGCAAGGAGAATCTACAGAAAACAGAGAATGTTCACGAGATTTGAGAACTGCGTATTTATACCGCGAGGGAAAAGTTTGCGGTGCTCGTTGCGCCATGTGTAATGAAGTGGTAGTGCGGGGGTTAGCTTTTAGCATCGAGTTGGTCTGATGTGGAGGGGAAATAACTGTTTGGAGAGAGACAGGGGTGGAACAGGAATGATTTTAGTTGGGGGTGGGTGAGCTTATGTTATGCGGTTGATGGGATGGGGATGGGTAGGTTTGAGTGGATGTGGGAATGGGAATGGGAATGGAGGATTCCAACATGGAGTTTTGGAAAGGGGGGGTGCTGGTGAGGAATTGAAAGAGCCGAATGTTCTCCTATCCGAATGTTCCTCTATCCGAATCTATCTATTTATCATGATGATATCATCATATTACATCCTATCCCATCATGAGCACTATACAGATACCTCGACCAAAAAATCCATACAGATATTCTGATTCTCTTACGCGATTCATCTCGACCTGTATCCATCCTAATCTCATCCCCATCTTTACACAAAAGGAAATACACGCTAGCCGGCCATTACCGATCGTAAGATTACACATCTCTCTCTCCGTACCTAACCAATAAATAATAGAAGTAGCAGCGTGAGCGGCACGTACATATATGTAATAGTGGGTTCTCCGAGTATCAGACTAAAATATTACAGTGGAGGTTGCAACAGTTGGTCTGCGGATCCAATATTTGTGTTTGTGTTTGTGTTTGTTGGTGTGGGCTGAGCTGATGATAGCGCATCTGAGAATTTTGGAGTAACTGCGGGAATGATGGATTGGAGAGTGGAGGAGAGGAGGAAAGGGGTTCATTGAGTGGAAGATGAAAAGTGTTATTGAGGCGTGTGGTGGTGATGGTGGGTTTTGAAATGGTGTCTGTGTAAGAAGATTCTTCCGAACAACATTGGCTGGCAGAGTAAATTCCATGCGATAGTGGTAATCGATCCGTTCGAATATTGTACGGTAGGAAGGTCTACTTGACCTGTCTATTCAAGTCCCAATTATTCAATTCGTCTAGTCAATACATCGTGACTGATAGTATATCCGCCATTATCTCCGGAACACACCTCTATAGCTTTGATAGCACTATCGTAGCTAGTAACTCGCAGTCCACCGTTATCGAGGACTATAATTCATCTCAAAAATCAAAATTTCCGAATTGGTTGTATCTGATGCATTGGGAAACTTAGCAATCATTCTTCATTGGTCTGTGGAACTTTGTTAGCGTACCTATAATTCTGTTTGCACTTACATTCTGAGATGCAAAATCTACGGTATGTTTGACATCAAGAGGATTGATATAGTACATGACATTTTCTTCGAGGTCGGTAGTGTCTTCTGTGTTGCTGTTTCTAACTTTGATGACTTGGTTGTGGATAGAGATATTTAGTGAGTACTATGGCTTTTCAGTTCATGCCAAATAGTGATTCTTTGCAGCAGGCTTGCTGTATATGTGCTTTTACGGAAATTGAAGTGCATGCCTATGCGTGCCGAATTTTTTTCTTCTCGTCCTCCTATAGCGTAGGGGAAACGACTGAACTCTCAAGCTTCTTATCCTTTCGAAGGCTATTATTCTGCTTCTCTTTTATCTGGGAGAGAAGAGGAGAGGAAACTCAAGCGCTGGTGCGCTTTCCATGTGGGTCGCTTGACACATATATCAATGATGGCTCATTCTGTTCTGTGTATCCCAAGTCTACCATCCTTTCATTGAAGAGAGATCAAACGTATACCCCCTTGGCTCATCCCAAAACCGATGCATTCCACTTTTCCAATCCTCAGCTTTTGCGAATTTGTCTATCTCTTTGAGACAATCGCTTGTTCGATTCATAGATGTCGCAGACATCAACAATGATAGGTACCCACATACTAAACTCCATCGTAATTTTAATTTACAATAGTGAGTTACGTCCATATAATCTGATATTGTGGCAGATGGTTGACTCTCAATAGTGTGATTCGCCATTGGAAGCTGGAGTCAGACTACCGCCCTTCACCATCCTCGAGTGACAGCCACCTTTCTCAACGGGGCTCTTCTATCAATGCTTGGCTACCGCATGGCGCTTGGTATTTTTTACATGTAGATTCGTAAAACGGCGTGATTCTCTGGTAGGTTTCGCAAATACTGATACTCTGTTCGACTCAGTGGCGGAACTTTGGTGATCATTAGTTCTGTTCTGATGTGTCAGTCTTACGAATGAATGGACTACAGGAACTGATGGCTATCAACATCTCAGAGGTTTAGTAGCGCTCAGGATATTTGCGATGTGAGTTTATAGGCATACTATTCTTATTGTTTTTGAAGTCGGTGCATTTTCTCGGAAAATCGTTGCTGTATCGCAAGCTCTTGTGTCGCACAGGAAATTTCAAATATTGTAGAGAAGACAGACGATTTCACCCACCAGAAGATTGTCTTCGAGTTTGACTGATTGGACATAGGACAATCCACAGTCATCGACCTCCTGCAATAGATGCAACAATTTCCGGAAATGAAGCGATCAAGAAACTTTCCAATCTTCTGCCTACTTTGAGAAAATCTCTAGTTCGAGGTATGGTTACCGGCACTGATAGCACTTACTCTGAATCACTAAATTCTATAAAAAGAAAGAGAGCAACAGCAGTGATAGTTGATGCAATAAATTAAGCCTGCATCGACGTTATTGCTGTCGGAAATTTGACATCACTCTTTCTTTTTCTTCCTGTAAGTCATATTCGAACCCAATTAAACATGTAGAGAACGATTTTTTTGG